TACTTGCATATTAATCTAGTGACCCCTTAAATGCGTGCATGTATGTGAACAAAATGTCTGACGATCAACTCAACCGCCCGTGGACCGCAGAGGCCATATCATCTGAAGACGTTGGCAAGAAAGAAATTGTACAGTTTCTGCAGGAAAATGCATCTTCCCAAGTTAGTTTATTTAAATATTCCAACAGTAGGATATTCGCCTGTCACTGTGTAATTTACTGGTACATTGCTGAACTGTGAATGACCCACATATCATCACATGTGGTTAGTTCTATGGTCGACCTCAGTTTGTTCACGCTTTGTGTATACGATTCCATATGCTTCGATTAACGAAGGAATTTGTGCAAAAAATGTGATCATCTGGCGATAATTTGAGTAGCTCCAGGTAATTCTCTACGGCACCATTTATTTATTTTATTTATATTTATTGCAACCTTTTGGATAAATTAATAGGTTCACAAATGTGGTTCACAAATGTGGCATCATATATTCTCAGCGCAGCAAAGGCGATCCCTTCATCTTTATTAATATTACAATGGCAGTAAAATTTATAAAGATGAAAGGAATGTCTTTGTTGCGCTGAGAGTATAAACATCACCAACAATTTGATTAAATGTAAACAGGTCAAACTTAGAGAGCGTCATAAGGTAACAACTATACCACAATAAATACACAACAGAACACACAGATGTCTTGGAACCAGGAGGGGGTAGTATTTATTACTACCAAATCTAAGTCCTTGGCCCTCCATTGATATGAAAATAGTGTTACATAATATGCAAATGTTCTGGCAAACTACAACTACAAAACTATGAAATGACTATGAAACAAAAGTCTTCTGTAAGAAACCGGCAAGATAAAAAGAAATACATTGCAAAAATACACTACATGAAGAAAGCAAAATGCTCAAAAATATAAAAGACAAAATTCAAAGGCAAAAAAAGCTAAGTAAAACAAACAGAATAGCAGTCAATACATTTCAGACAGCAAAATTAAAATTGCACCACTCACTTTGCCAAAGTGTGGGTTCGGTGGACGAATGGGCTGCTACCAAAGTTTGAATGTGTTGCTGGCTTCAAGGCAAAGATGTAACTACTTAGAAATAGGAATTAAGTGCTACAGACCGACTGGTCATTTACTAAGGCAAATCAACATTAAGCTGGCTTGTGATTGGCTAAATGCCCACAATTGACCTTTTGGGGAGGCAGGCAGCAGATAAATTTCTCTGCCTTTAAACGTGTTAATAATTAACATAGCCTTTAATAATATGATAGAACCCTATGGCCCTGACGTTTGTTTGGTTTCAAAGTTATTTTCAGTAGTGATGTGGTGTATCCTGTGGCCATAATTTCATAAACGAAGTAAGCCACCCTCCCTCCAATCAGGCATAGTCCAAAAACAGGGACAAGAGGAATGTGTGAATCATAAACGTTTACACCCCTGGTTCCAAAAGTTATTGTTCTGAACAGGTGGTTATATTCAATACAGATACAGATTATCAGTCGGAATGATATATCAACTTTCACACAACAATAACAAAAAAATTGAAAAGCAAGTATTCTGACCATAGCTCAACTGGTGCAGAATGACAGAACTGTGCTTTGTTCTTCAGTCTTATAGAGGAAAGTGCATGTGAACTGAATTCATTGTTAATTAAACATTAAACATGAGCAGATGCTGGTATACTACATCACATACTTTCTTGTATTGACATCATTTGTTGCTATGGAGTTTTTTTCTTTAAACAATACTCTGCTGCCACCTACAGTTCATTGTAACATTTCAAAGATGTCAAGTTAATCATTTAGCTACTTGGATGTTATTTATACCAGGACTCAAATGGCCACCCTTTGCAAAATCTCTTTTGATAGTTGGGATGGTGGATTGGTTTCCACAACACATTTTATGTGTTATTAGCCGTGTGTTGGGTCACTTTGCCCATACAATTGTGTCTAAAACAATGTTTTCGTAAGATTCGT